CCCCAAAACCCCAAAACCCCAAAACCCCAAAACCCCAAAACCCCAAAACCCCTGCTTTTTTAAATAATATTGAATTCGATAAAATTCCTTAAATTTTATCTTTAAAGACCTTGTGGTAAGCTCTCTCCATCTTTTCTCACCACAATTTTATCCATTCCATACTTTTTTAACATTTCGTTAACTGTCCCGACTCCAATAGGACATTCATCGATATTAATAGATTCGAGGGATTTTTTATGGGGAGATCTGCTCAGAGCTTCAATGATCCATTCTAGTCTCTCAGGGTGATCTTTGAAATTTGATGATAAATTACTAACCTCATAATCAGATCTATAAAACGATAAACACTTCAATTTAGAGCCCTTATTTGTATCAAAGTTCATTTCTTTAGCTGTTACTAGCTTTGAGGCGATAAAAATGATCTTTTCAGCCTGATAACATTTCTGCATGATGAGTTCCAAATCAGAAGCCTGAATCACAAAAGTGTCAAACATAACTTCCTTAGTTATTTTGGGAAGAGCAATACTCAACCCTTCAATCATTGAAGAGAAATGAACTACTTTACCACTCCACCCCCAATTAAAATAGATCTTCGGAATTGATTTCGGGATACAATTTAGAAGGTATCTATTAATAATCTCAGTACAGTTGCTATCTATTTTTGCAGTATGAATTTCATTGATTTTAGGAAGAATGACCTTTTCTTCTCATAATGCGTTGATAAAGTTTTGAGATTCTATGTTACACATTTTGAGTTTAAGTTGGCAAACTTCATCAAAAGTTTTCTTCACACCCACGTGTTTTTCATATAAAGCTTCACATTTCTTCTTGCTTATAGAAGAAGAGTCTGAAATAGCATTTTGTGCCAATATCTGTCCTGACTCACCAGTAAGGGCTGCCCCTTTTTCTTCTAGTTCTTTATTCTCTTTAATAAGTTTCTCATTCTCTGTCTTGAGGGTGTAGAGATCTAGCTCGAGACCATCAGATTTGTCCTTTTCTATCTGCAGCTGTTGTTCCAGCTCTATCACTTTATTTTGGAGTTCCAAAATGAACTTCTGGGCCTCTTTCTCGCCTTTATCAGACTTTTTAGCTTCTTTTAACAATTCTTCTATTATAGTTTTATACTCTTTAGCATTTTCTTCTTTAGTCTTTTGATGCAGATTTGTAATACTTCTGTAGAATCCCTTAGTTAAGGCCTTCGATCCTTTCATTACATCGATACTACCTCCCAATCTGGCTCTGCTCGAGCAGGATAGAAGCTGTAAATCAAACAATAGCCTATAAATAGGATTGGACCCATCTGATCCCATTCCGAAAGCACCTGAAAGTATCTTGCTCTTAAGCTCTTTCCCTTCTTGAAATAGAGATCCAAACTTCATAAAGTCACTAGAATCAATAGCAGTCTTCACCTTCTTGCCAAAGCCATCAACTTCATCAGAGACATTTTTCATCACTCCTTCAAGCCCGTCAATCTTGTTTCCTAAGTCATGAGCTTCAGCTTGTTGTCTGAGTCCAATCACTAAGCTGTTAATTGGTAATAGCACTTGTTCCAACTCTTCAGAGCTCTTAATAGCCTCGTAGTTGCAGTCAAAATGCAATGTATTTGTTCAGCTGATACAAAAAACATCGTTATGACCATTGCAATAATGTTTAATAGGCTTGTCGCAGTTAGAATGGCTGCACAAGGTTATTTCTTGCTTTTCCATATTAATTTAAAACTAATCCAATGTACTTATTCTTATATGGGGTTTTGGGGTTTTGGGGTTTTGGGGTTTTGGGG